CATACGTTAAGGTTGAAGCCAGACATCTGCCAAAACAGAAGTGTTGGAGGAATACACGGGGGATATTCAAAAAATCCCTGTACCAAACACTGAGAGGAAGAAATCTTATGGGACTTCACAACATAGAAGCCATTCAAAGAGCAGCCCAAGATAGGTGGGTGGTAAATCCTTGCTTGTGCTCTGAGGTCTGACATTGCAAGAAAGATTCAGATTAGTTAAGAGTGAAGTATATCTCAAGAAATGGATTATTTGGATATTAATGTGTGTGTACCCTTTGTCTTTTGCCCCCTTCCCCACAAATTACTCTTGTTGTGGTCTCGCCACAGTACACGATACAGGATTTTGAATAATAAGAAGATTATTTGGGGAAACGTTGACCATATTGATTCATTTTATATAGAAGTGGAGCACAAGGTTTTCATTCCATCACAAGCTTCCCATATCAGCCAGGAAAAAGCTTTTCAAGGAACAATTTTTCAGATTAGCTGAACTATAAAGGATGATAGTCTCTGAGCTGCACAAGTCACTTGTGTGCATTCTGGCAATTTTAAATATTAGCTTATTAATAATTCCTCCATAAATTAGGCAGGTATTGCTAACAATATTCGAGACTCTCTTGAAGCATATAGGTATTATGTCAGTAATTCACTTGGAAAGGTTTTAGGATAATTTATTCAACCACAAAAACAATGTGTCAAGTGAACCTAGTATTGAGACTGGAATGTATTTGGCTGTATTCGCTTCTCATCTCTGCATCTACGGTGCATGCCTGCCGGGGTGTACTGGCAGGAACCGTGGCGCTGCACGACCCCCAGCGGGTCTGAGGGGCTAACCCCTCCGGCACAGACAGGCCGTGGCGATGTGAGCCTTCGCGCCTGAATCCTGTACTCAGCGTTGTTAACATTCACTGCCAGACCAGTAATTGTATGGGGCCGGGCTGGGCGGTCTGTGGGGCGGGACGGGGCTGACCCCCTTATCGTGTGGGGCCGGGCTGGGCGGTCTGTGGGGCGGGACGGGGCTGACCCCCTTATCGTGTGGGGCCGGGCTGGGCGGTCTGTGGGGCGGGACGGGGCTGACCCCCTTATCGTGTGGGGCCGGGCTGGGCGGTCTGTGGGGCGGGACGGGGCTGACCCCCTTATCGTGTGGGGCCGGGCTGGGCGGTCTGTGGGGCGGGACGGGGCTGACCCCCTTATCGTGTGGGGCCGGGCTGGGCGGTCTGTGGGGCGGGACGGGGCTGACCCCCTTATCGTGTGGGGCCGGGCTGGGCGGTCTGTGGGGCGGGACGGGGCTGACCCCCTTATCGTGTGGGGCCGGGCTGGGCGGTCTGTGGGGCGGGACGGGGCTGACCCCCTTATCGTGTGGGGCCGGGCTGGGCGGTCTGTGGGGCGGGACGGGGCTGACCCCCTTATCGTGTGGGGCCGGGCTGGGCGGTCTGTGGGGCGGGACGGGGCTGACCCCCTTATCGTGTGGGGCCGGGCTGGGCGGTCTGTGGGGCGGGACGGGGCTGACCCCCTTATCGTGTGGGGCCGGGCTGGGCGGTCTGTGGGGCGGGACGGGGCTGACCCCCTTATCGTGTGGGGCCGGGCTGGGCGGTCTGTGGGGCGGGACGGGGCTGACCCCCTTATCGTGTGGGGCCGGGCTGGGCGGTCTGTGGGGCGGGACGGGGCTGACCCCCTTATCGTGTGGGGCCGGGCTGGGCGGTCTGTGGGGCGGGACGGGGCTGACCCCCTTATCGTGTGGGGCCGGGCTGGGCGGTCTGTGGGGCGGGACGGGGCTGACCCCCTTATCGTGTGGGGCCGGGCTGGGCGGTCTGTGGGGCGGGACGGGGCTGACCCCCTTATCGTGTGGGGCCGGGCTGGGCGGTCTGTGGGGCGGGACGGGGCTGACCCCCTTATCGTGTGGGGCCGGGCTGGGCGGTCTGTGGGGCGGGACGGGGCTGACCCCCTTATCGTGTGGGGCCGGGCTGGGCGGTCTGTGGGGCGGGACGGGGCTGACCCCCTTATCGTGTGGGGCCGGGCTGGGCGGTCTGTGGGGCGGGACGGGGCTGACCCCCTTATCGTGTGGGGCCGGGCTGGGCGGTCTGTGGGGCGGGACGGGGCTGACCCCCTTATCGTGTGGGGCCGGGCTGGGCGGTCTGTGGGGCGGGACGGGGCTGACCCCCTTATCGTGTGGGGCCGGGCTGGGCGGTCTGTGGGGCGGGACGGGGCTGACCCCCTTATCGTGTGGGGCCGGGCTGGGCGGTCTGTGGGGCGGGACGGGGCTGACCCCCTTATCGTGTGGGGCCGGGCTGGGCGGTCTGTGGGGCGGGACGGGGCTGACCCCCTTATCGTGTGGGGCCGGGCTGGGCGGTCTGTGGGGCGGGACGGGGCTGACCCCCTTATCGTGTGGGGCCGGGCTGGGCGGTCTGTGGGGCGGGACGGGGCTGACCCCCTTATCGTGTGGGGCCGGGCTGGGCGGTCTGTGGGGCGGGACGGGGCTGACCCCCTTATCGTGTGGGGCCGGGCTGGGCGGTCTGTGGGGCGGGACGGGGCTGACCCCCTTATCGTGTGGGGCCGGGCTGGGCGGTCTGTGGGGCGGGACGGGGCTGACCCCCTTATCGTGTGGGGCCGGGCTGGGCGGTCTGTGGGGCGGGACGGGGCTGACCCCCTTATCGTGTGGGGCCGGGCTGGGCGGTCTGTGGGGCGGGACGGGGCTGACCCCCTTATCGTGTGGGGCCGGGCTGGGCGGTCTGTGGGGCGGGACGGGGCTGACCCCCTTATCGTGTGGGGCCGGGCTGGGCGGTCTGTGGGGCGGGACGGGGCTGACCCCCTTATCGTGTGGGGCCGGGCTGGGCGGTCTGTGGGGCGGGACGGGGCTGACCCCCTTATCGTGTGGGGCCGGGCTGGGCGGTCTGTGGGGCGGGACGGGGCTGACCCCCTTATCGTGTGGGGCCGGGCTGGGCGGTCTGTGGGGCGGGACGGGGCTGACCCCCTTATTGTGTGGGGCAGGGCTGGGCGGTCTGCAGCCTGTGGGGCGGGAGAGGGTTGGGAAGTTGGGTAGCTGTTGGGGCTCCAGTGACATGAGCACCAGCAACCATCACCCAGACTCCTAAGACTCTTTAAAATGCCTCCCTGTTTAGCGTTGGGTCAATTTAAGGTCGACCCTCTCTGCCAGGCGATCATCTTATTTCTTTTGACCTGTGCAGAAATGCTGTGAAGGTGGAGAGTAGCTTCCTGAGCCTGCGTTGTGCATGGATCAGTGCCAGGAATTTTTTTTTTTTTTAGTCAATTGATATTTGCATAGTGTGTATGGTTTGCTTTGTGCTTTGAAAAGGTGAGGTGCTATACAGATGTCAAGTATAACTGTTCAACAAACTGGTGTAGTGCCTTGCTGGATTAAGACAAACTATCTGCTGCTCAAGCCAGGTAGAAGAAAGGTTATTTGTTAGGGCAAGGATGTATTAGAACAGTCCATGTATTTGATACAGTTGATCTTTGCCCACAGTAAATCTGATGCCACAGGACTCCTTGTTTTTGCAGACAGCCGCCCCTCTGAGACTACAACAGGAATTCTCAGACTTAATTGTAGTCAGCCCTGTTTTGACTACAAAAACAATATGCCCCCAGGAGGGGTGAGCATAGCCTGAGCCTGCCTGAGCCCCTCCATTTGGCAGGAAGGTAAAAGCCAAACCCTGAACCCCATAACCCTGGCGGGGGTGGGGGTGTGTGGGGGGAGCCTGCAAAGATGAAGCTGAAAGGTTTTGGCTCCAGACAGGGGACCTATAACTTGATCCCTGCTGTCCAGGGTTAAAGCCCAAGGACTTCTGCTTCTGCCCTGGGAATCGGGGCTCCAGCTTGGGCTTTGATCGTAGGTGGTTGGGCCTGGACTTGGGTTCACCCCAGGCAAACTAAACCAGCACTGATGACCTCATTAAAAGGGGTTGTGACCCACTTCCCAATCCATAGTTTGAAAACTACTGCACTAGAAGAAATGCCTGGTGTTGACACAAACCGTGTCTATAAGGAGAGGTATTGGTCTTTTCTTCACAACTTGTATGTCCTGTTGGGTGCACTGTGTGATTCTACTTCCTTGGGTAGAGATAGCTGCCAATTATTGGTAATACTGAAGGCAATAACTCCTTTAGGATAAGGACCTTGCCATAGTGATTTACATTTCTATGATTTTTTTTTTAAGATTAAGTTATTGCAATATGTTCTTCATACACTTGTGCTCTACAGTCGCTCAAACTTGAGAGACTGTAGCAGTCCGTTTTTGTGGTGTTGGAGAAAGTAGATAATACAGGAACTCAAATAGATGTACTTGTTCTCAATGCATTTCTGGATGGAATTTAGATTTACAGCATTACATGGGTTACAACCTAATGCGCGCTCTCGCTCTCGCTCTCGCTCTCGCTCTCTCTCTCTCTCTGATTTAATGATCATTCTCTGTGTCTGGAGGCCTCAGCTAGCATCTAAGCTTCACTGTGTAAACATGTACTAATAGATTATGCTCAGTCCTAAGTGTTTAGGGTCTAAAATAGATTAGATGGTGGGTGGGAAAACAGACATCTCCAGGGAGATGAAATGATTAGCTTAAGGTCACATATCAAGTCAGTAACAGAACTGGAAATAAAGCCTTACATTTTGGATCACAGTACATCTCTATAGTTAGCTTGTTTTCAGTGCAGTCTGAGCACAGAATTGACTTCTTTTGTTTTCTCACCAGAGCCTGACTTTCTTGCCCCTCAAGCCTCTTTTTGTTCTTCAGACTTTTGCTGGAGAGGAGAATGTTAGTGTGTATTAACAAAGAGAAAATTCAAGATTTGGGAAGACACTGTCTCTTGGATGCTGGGCTTGGACCAGTAGATATATACCTAGAACATTGTTTGGCCTGACACAGTTTTTATTAGTTATAAAATGACTTCTGATAGAATAAATAATCTGTATCTGTATCCTATCATCAGACTGTCCATTCTCTGAATAGTCTTATATTGCTGCAAATCTATCTAAATCATGTACCTGATACATCCTAGTAAACATAGTAGTAACACTTGATTTCTTTTTTTTTAAGAATGTCTCCAACACAGGCCTGACTGGTGCCCAAAATAAGAATAAAAAGGAAAAGAAAAATGAAAATGAAGTTGTGAATGGGCTTAAGAATGAGGTAAACAGATATTTTATAGAGCCCTTGCTAGCTTCACAGCGGGTCCTCCCCTTTGTCACATGTTGTGCCTCCTAAGATATTTAGGGTCTGTGACAGATTTTGCTAATTTATGTAACATAATTAGGAGTGAGAGGGATGTTTGCCTTTAGGGAGATGTGGGAGACTTCTAGTAACTGGCTAAGACTTACACACTTGCACTCACTAGCCCTAATGAGTTCATCAGTACTTCTTAGAGTGTATAAAGTTAAGCATTGAATCAGAAAGGTTACATCAGCTATAAGCGTGGAAAGGGGATTTCAGCAGGTTGTGAGTGATACTGTTGGGGGAGGAGTTGCATATGGTGAGCAAGAATGCAGGGGAGGATCTAGGTCAGTGGTTTTCAATTTTTTTTTAATGACCCAGTTGAAGACAATTGATGCCTGTGACCCAACATAATTTGATTTAAGCGTGGGCTCTAGGATGGGGCTGAGGATGAGAGCTTTGGGATATTTGGGGTTGGGGCAGGGTTGGGGCAGAAGGGGCTTACCTCACATGGCCCCGGTCATTGATACACCCAGGATGCTAAGGCAGATTTCCTGCCTGTCCTGGCACTGCAGACCATGCTGTGCCCCACAAGCAGCCAGCAGCATATTCTAGCTAATGGGAGTGTGGAGCTAGTGCCCAGGGCAGGATCAATGGACGGAGCCCTGTACACTCGTCTGCCCCCCTGCCCTTACCTAGGAGCTGAGGTTGGTGTTGGCTGCTTCTGGGGTGCAGCACAGTCTGCATGCCATGACAGGCAGTTAGACTGTCTTAGCATCTCCACTGATCAATCTACAGTGACGAGACCCAGTGCCTGACATTCTGTGACCCAGTATTGGGTTGAGACCTGTAGTTTGCAAACCACTGACCCAGGTGAATGCTGAATAACCCTAGTGAGGCTTGTATTTTAGAATATTTCAGTGCTAACATTTATAACACTTGAAAATGGCTATGAGTTACTAAGGCCAGATGCTTTGGGGTTGAAAGAAGTGATTATGAATGTATGCATTTATATTTTAGAAGCACCTAGAGACACCAATGAAAATAACAATCTCGTTGTGATAAATGTTGCACCAGTACACAGTACATTAACCTCCCCATTTGTGTTCTTTTTAAATTAGTTTTGTGACTATATGATTTTTTTTAAACAGCTGCAGTGTGAGCCAAGTTTCATAGAAGACAGGCTGAAGCTTTATGAAACACTGAAAAAAGAGCATGATGCCTTACTTGCTTACAGAGCAGCCAGTCAGAGCAAGTCTATTAGAGTGATTCTGACTGATGGTAAAGTGATTGAAGGGGAATCTTGGAAAACGACACCATATCAGTTGGCTGCAGGAGTTAGGTAAAAAGTTTTAAGAGTGGTTTTGTTAATTTCCCACCCCCTTGGGAGCTAGTTGAGTGAGTGACTGGCTTATTTTTTTAATATTTGCTTTTCCTTACTTTCATTGAGGAAGTATTGATACAGGTCTTAGACTTACACCCGGTGATTTCTGCAGTGGTTCTTTGGCCTTTTTAATGCTCGAATTCAAACAAAGTGATGATAATGGTTTTGTTGGATTATAAACTTAGAAGAAACTGTTAGCAGTTAACTCCAATACTTGAAATCTTGTTGAATCCTAAATAATAATACAGGCAGTCCCCGAGTTACGCGGATCCGACTTATGGCGGATCCGCAGTTACGAACGGGGCTTTTCTCGCCCCGGAGGACGGGAGCGGCGGGACGCCCAGATGAGCCGCAGCAGGGGGCCGCGGAGCAAAGCCGCGGAGCACCCCCGCAGCGGGCGTGCTCCAAGGCTTTGCTCCCTGTCTCCCTGGTCAGCAGACCAGGGAGACGGAGCAAAGCCGTGGAGGATGCGGGCAGTCCCGCCACCCGCGTCTCCTTGGTCTGCTGGGGTGGGGGGAGCAGCTAGCGCCCTTAGTGCTCCCTTCCCCCCAGCAGACCAGGCTTTTCTGCCCACGACGCCTGGGGTAGAGCAGCTGAGGCGCTGCTGGGTTGGCTGAATCTGGACGCCAGTTCCGACTTACATACAGATTCAACTTAAGAACAATCCTACAGTCCCTATCTTGTACGTAACCCGGGGACTGCCTGTAATAGGCGTGCACTTGGGACAGATAAATCCTGTGCTCCACAAGCACTGCTGCAGCCACTCTCTATTTGTAGTGCGCTAGCTTGATCAGAGCTTGTGTGTGTGTCTCCATGAGCTGTGAATCACATCATCGGCTTACCTTGTACACCTACCCTGGGATAGGACCCAGTGATTCACTTCATAGCAGGAGAATGCTAAGCTAACCAATTTACAGCATTGGGAAAGAAGCTGAGTTTAAAAACTCCCACAATTTTTGTGGGAAACTTAGTGCATAGACTCACAAGTACAGGTTGGACCTCTCTGGTTGCAGCTGATTTACTATTCACTAAGAAGAGTTCCCATCCTCCCTCCCTCCCTCCTTTCCTGAAGGGAGCAGTTGTAGGTTAAGTCTTAGTGATTATAAGGTTTATAGTCTGTAACTCAAAAGCAAACCAGGTTTGAAAATATTTTAAAAGTCTGGAGAGGCCAAAGGACCATATTTTGGAGGTTATTTGAGTGCCTAAAATGTAGATAGATTCCTAGTGGGATTTCAAAAATACCTTGGCACCTACATAACTGTCTAAAAATGTGTCCCAAAATACCTTTCATACTCATGTTTTTGTTAGTCGAGGACTGGCTGATAATGCAGTAATAGCCAAAGTGAATGATGAATTGTGGGACCTGGATCGTCCATTGGAGGGAGATTGTTCACTGGAACTGCTCATGTTTGATAATGAAGAAGCTCAGGCAGTAAGTAAACAGTCTGTCTTGATATTACTTGATTGATTTAATCTTTGTTTTCTTTTTTATAAAAATTCTGAACATTACTAGTCCTTGATATAGTTCAATGTATTGTGTAAGTTACTGATGCAACAAAATTGTTCAATGATTAGTCAAGCACAGATGATTGTGATTTGATCAAGTATGTTTGATACAGATTATATAGGTGGTATTTGAAAAGGGAATTTATGGATAAAACTTTGGGGGGTGCTCTCTTTCTCCCTCTCCCCCTGTATCCCTTAGCTAATGTATTGAATTTGACTGAAAACAAAACAAAAATTAGCTAGATTCATATGTTTAATTGTAAAAGCAGTTTGGTTAATTTTATCTCTAAGTGGTATGGATGAAGCCTCTAAGGATTTGATCCTGGCAAAACAGTCAGGTTCTAAATGTTAACATCACGAGGAATATATTAGACCTTTTCTGAAACTTCATCCGGATATATTTCTTTCATAGGTTGAATTCTGTATTTACCTGAAACTGCAGCACTTCATTGATGTCAGGCATGCATGTACAGCCGGTCCCCAACTTACGAACGAGTTACGTACCAAACACCTGGTCGTAACTCTTATTTGTTCGTAAGTCGGGAATACATGCTTTTAAATACAGCCGTGCTGTTTGCACTATCCTCACTTACATTTGTAAGTCGGGGACGGGCTGTAATGGAGTAAATGGGAGGTTGGTCATAAGTGTGAACGGTCGTAAATCGACACGTTCATAACTCAGGGACCGGCTTTATATCATTCAGTGGAAATGTGCTTGAAGTTTTGCCTGATTATTTGCCTGGCTATGAGCTAAAGGCCTCAATCCTAAAAAAACTTAAAAATATTCTTAACTTTGTGCACTGTGAATCGTCTTATTTGATTACAATAGGGAACTAATCACAGTGCATAAAAGTATGGTAAGTCCTTGAATAAATCTTTGTAGGATTCAAGTCTAAAAAGCTTTTGTCATTATAGAAGTGTCTATCAAATGTCCTCAGATAATGTGCATAACAGCGTTTATAATCGACTGCTGTGTAGATAATCATTATTTCAATATAAATTTAAAATGATCTGGTTTGAGATCAGCCTATTTATACCTGGATCGATCGGTCTTCAGCTATCATTAAGACTGCACTGATCACAACATGTCCACCATTCTTCTTGCACTCTTGTCTGTCTTCTCCATGTTCGTCCAAAACGTTTAACAATATCATCTTCTTGGAGGCCAACCGGGTGGTCTTTTCTGTTCTCGCAGGTACCACTCAGCAATAATTGCAGTCCACCTATTGTCCATCAGCCGTGCTGTGTGGCCTGCCCATCGCATTTTGTTATGTCTGCTTTCCACAATAAAATCTTTCACGCTGCTGCGTTCTCTGATAATTTCATTTGGAATATGATCCAGAAGGGAAATTCCCAACATAGATTGCTCCATTGCCCTTTCAGCTACCAATAGTCGCTGCTCTTCTCTCTTCGTCACTGCCCACATTTCGCTGCCATACAACATGGCTGGCAGCACTGTTGAATTGAAGATATTTGTATGTGTGGTCTTACAGATTTTTCCTTTGAGAGCGTCCTTGATGGAATTGAATGCACACCATCCTGCCCAAATCCTTCTCGAGAGTTCTCCGTTCAGGTCTTGGTGCATATTAACTTCTTGGCCCAAATATATGTACTGTTCCACTTGTTCATTTCTTCTCCCGTTATTGTTGTTTGGGCTTTTTGTAAGACGTCTGATTGCATATACTTCATTTTGCAGTGGTTCATTTTCAGACCAACCTGACTGCTTTTCTTGTCAAGTCTTCGTAGCATGCCCTGCAATTGGTTGGTGCTTTTGGCAATTAATACAGTGTCGTCCGCGAATCTGAGATGAGAGAATCATTCTCTGTTTATGTTGACGCCAATTCTCCAATTGATCTTATTCATAACCATTTCGAGGCATGCAGTGAATAGTTTTGGTGAAATCATATCTGCTTGCTTCACGCTTTTCTCGATTGGGATACAGAGGGGAGTTTCGAGGAGAGTAGTATCTGTTGTACATCCAGTATTGGCTTCCTTCCACAAATTAATGTATTGAGTGTTAATGCCCTGCTCTGCGAGCGCCTTTAATATTGTGTTGAACTCGACGCTATCGAAGGCCTTTTCATAGTCGACTAAAGAAATGCACAGCAGAAGTTTGTATTCCCTTGCTCTTTCTAGGAACTGGCTAAGGGTAAATATATGATCGATGGTACTAAAATTTCTTTGAAACCCTGCCTGTTCTCTCAGCTGTTATTCATCGAGGCTCTGTGAAAGTTGGTTCGTTACAACCTTTGTAAAGAGCTTGTAAATATGAGAGAGTAGGCATATAGGGTGGAAGTTCTCAAGATTTTCTCGATAGCTCCTTTTGTGCAGCAAGATGGTATTTGACTCCTTCCAGCTTGATGATGGTATATTTCCCTCTTCAAGATATTGACTGAATCTTAAAGCTAGGGCCTTCCACAGTTTTTCACCTCCTGCAGAAATCATTTCTGATGTTATTCCATCTTTGCCTGGAACTTTTCCCTTCTTCATCTGGTATAGTGCACTTCAGATTTCACTGACGATTATTGGAGTTCTTCTGACTCCTGGAGCATTGGGAGAGGGACATTGATTCTTAATTTGAATACCGGTAGTTCTGTATAGAAGTCCTTACAGATCTCTTCCGTCCCTGCTCTGTTGATTACTGTCTCTCCATCCTTGTTCTTCAGTGCTGTTACATTCAATCTATACTGCATCAATTCCCACTTGCAAGAGCTTCAGGATATGCGCGATTCAGCTGTTCTGAGGAGTTTTTCTTTCTGGAAGTTCTCAAAGTCATCCTTCAGCTTTTCCCATATGAACTTGCACAGAATCGAGTACTCAAGTTGTTATCCGAGCTCCTTTTCATGTTTCTCTGCTTGGTGAGCAGGCTTTTCGATTCCTTCGAAATTCTTCTTCATCTTCTTCGACTTTTCAATTTGAGCTGCTTTTTAAGCAACGTCTCAACTTGTCAGCAAAGATACTATAGTCCTCATCACACTTTTCCGTCTGGCTCCAGTCAAACGCAGAAATCGCTTTCTTCAGCTTTGCTTCGTCTAATGTCTTCAGCCGCTTTCGTATTTGCCATTTGTAATGCCTTCTTTACCACCAGTTCATCGACAATCAACTTTGCTCTAAGCAAGCGGTGGTCACTGCTCATGTTGAAAGGCTGCACCACAAAGATGTCTTGAATGATGCACCTTTTATTGACTAAAATATAGTCTCTTTCATTCTTGCTCTTTGCGTTTGGTGTGATCCACGTCCACCTTCTTGCAATCTTCTTTAAATACCAGGTGTTTGCCATGTACAGTTCTTTTATTTCTGCCATCGCTACTAACCTTTCGCCACTGCCGTATCTTCCTATGAACTTTTCGCCAGCTTTCCCTCATCCGACCTTGGCGTTAAAGTCTCCCATCGTGACAGTTCAGTGGACTTTTGCGTGAGGGCTCTTTTGAGCTCTCAGTAGAATTCTTCCACTTCTTCATCCTCACTTGCACTTCATCCTCACTTGGGGGTATAGGCCTGGATGACCTTGAGGGTAGCCTTTGACTCTATCTGAAGATGAAGCACACCAATACGTGATGATATTAGCTGGCATGATATAACTTTCAAAGACCAGTCCTTACTGACAATAAATCCGACTCCCCCCCCACACACACACATTTCTAGCACCGTCTCCCTTTCCGAGCCTCAGTGCTTCCATCCTTCCAGTTCACTTCCAACTCCTTCTTTCATCGGGTTTTGCAGACACCGAGGATGTCACATCTTATCCTTTTCTTTTCCTCCATCAGATGGTTTAACATTTCCTCCCTCACCAGCGACCTACAATTATAAGTACACACAGTGAGGGTTGTCCTTTTCCATGTTGGCCTAGCACCTTTTCCATGTTGGCCTCTCGTCACTCAGTTTCCACTCGGCCATTGTAGAATGGTTCAGTGATACTCAGGAGACTAAAACGCATTTACTCGTGGTGTTTTAGCCATTGACTTCAAGCCATCCGACTGGTTACATGTGAATAAAACACAGAAGATTATCATTGCTGAATCACACCAAATGTCTAATCACCAAGCAAATTAGAATAAAACAGGGCCACAATGGTACAGCTACCATCACGCTTTTGAACCAACATTTATCAAATACAGTGACTGAATCTACATTCATCATCTAACATACTAGATGACTAGTAGTAAAGAGAAGAGGCATTCCTTGCTTCAAATTTAAATATCATGGCTTCATCTCAACACTCCTTTTCCACAGAAATGCTTTTTTTTGAATTATGTAACATCAAAAAGTCATGTTCTGTGACCTGCTTTTCTGACTTTATTATTAATTTCTAGGTTTATTGGCATTCAAGTGCTCACATCCTTGGAGAGGCCATGGAAAGTTATTATGGAGGCTGTTTGTGTTATGGGCCTCCTATTGAGAATGGATTTTATTATGATATGTACATTGAAAACAGGTAAAACATTTAAACATTTTGGCTTTGACTTGAGTTTTTATGATTTAGTTAGGTTGAATCAGGTTTCTACTTGCATATGTAGAAGAAGTAAAATTTATCAATATTTTGATTTAAAACTTTCTCATGACAATTTTTTAGAAGAAATAATTATTTCTGGAATTTGTTCCTATCAGATTCCTTCTCAAGACTTGGGATTACTGAATTATTTGTAGAAGAAAGTAGAATGTTTGGGACTCTTTTTTTTTTTTAAGATGCCTAAGTCCCATTTTCAAAAGTTTTCTGTGACTTTGAATTAAATGTCCCTCGTGTCACTTTCGAAAATGGGACTTTTGCTACTAAGTTATCACTATTTGCAGTAATATATTTGTCAGTTTTCTATTGCTGGCTATATACATAAAGGAGAAAAAAAGAGAACCCGAACTCAACTAATAGGATGTCTCTTCGGGTACGTCTTGACTATAAAGCTTTTCCAGTGTACCAGGGAACATGTCTGCTTTTCTGAAAAAAAAATTCAGAAAAGCATCCTTGTTAACCTCGTTTTACAAGGAAGAAGGGATGTTCCAAAAGAGGGGCCAAATGTTGGAAAAGCCTCATTAGGGAGAAAAGCAGAAAAACATATGCAAATTGTGGTTCTCAATTTGCATATCTTTTTCCGACTTTTCTTTGTAGTGTAGATATGGTGTTTACGGAATACTAGATCTGGAAGGTCTCTTGAGAGGTCATCAAGTCCAGTCCCCTGCACTCAAGGCCGAGCACCATTTAGATCATCCCTGACCATGTTTATCTCACCTGCTCTTAAATATTTCCAGTAAGAGAGATTCCACAACCTCATTAAGCTGACTTGGGCCACATGTAGCTTTTCAGTGTTGTCCCATGTGTTAAAAATGAATAGTAAAGAGAATTTTTCTACTCCTTTATGTAATGTTGTTTTAAATGTTTTTCTTCTTGTTTTGTTTAAACTTGGAAATTTCATGAAAAACAAGTTGTTTTCCCTGTTCTTTCCTAAAGTTTCTGTCTATTAAATTGGAAGAATTTAAGTGTCTATTTTCTCAATTGTCATCTGACGGTAGTGTTAAATATTTTGCACCAAAAAGCTTTTCTACGATATATTTGATAAGCCTGAATTTTTATTTTTTTTTTATTAAAGTCTGATTAAATGTCTGGTGCTAAGGTCTCTTGGGGCTCAAACTGCAGTGTAGACATTTGGGATCTGGGACCTTGGGAAGGTGAAAGGTCTCAGAATTCAAACTCCAGCCTGAACATGAACATCTACACAGCAATTTTTCAGTACCAGCCTGAGTCAGCTGACCTGGGCCAGCTGGGGCCATGGCTGGAGTGTTTTTTACCCATGTTTTATCCATACCTTAATGCTCTCCGGTGCCTTGGAGATGGGATCAGTACAAATAAATAGGACCATTATATAACAGTATATATTCTTTGAGGCTCTATCCTACAGACACTTACGCATGTGTTTAACAACTGTAAATGAATATGGTTTCCTAGTGATATTTAAGAGATAATAAATTGTCCTAGTAAACTTTTTTGTTGTTAAAGATATATAGTAACTTTTCTACAATCTTTTTGTTTAGAGGTGTGTCTAGTACTGAATTTACTACATTGGAGAATACATGTAAAAATATCATAAAAGAGAAGCAGCCTTTTGAACGATTGGAAGTCAGTAAAGAGATCCTATTAGATATGTTTAAGGTAATTCTTTGGAACTACTGCAAGATTTGGAGTAATGGGCATTTAAAATGATTTTTTAAAATAGAATTTTATTCGTGTGGATAACATTATTTACTACATTATCCATCTGCACAAAGGGTGTTGAATTACTAGTCTTTTAGTATTTTGTAAAAGCGCTTTGAGACTGCAGATTATGGGAAGTGTTCTTCTATCCACTTATACCTAGACTGATTAGCTATGTCTATCTGATTGTCCTGTCTTCTCTGTATATTTTATAATACTCTTTTCTTCTGGAAGGAATGTCAGGTTTTCTCTGCTATGGGTGATTGGCACTCTTGAGTAGTTTGAGTGCCTTCTAATGACACAAATGAGTGCTACCATTATACCTGAATGTTGATTTAGTAACTGAAGTTAATAAACTTCCAATTACAAATATTTTTTTTTCCCTTTTTCTCTTTTATTGTAGTATAATAAGTTTAAATGTCGAATTTTGAATGAGAAAGTTAACACACAGACTACCACCATATACAGGTAAAATATACAAAAATACATATTATTTCATTGCTTGAATAACTATACACTATACTTCTATAACAGGAAATTGGACAGATGTTTAATGTAGATAAAGGAAGAAATTATTTTCCCTGGATTTATTAAATAACATCCCAGACTTCGTGAACGTTTCCTTCTTTTTAACTAGGACTCTTATTCTATATATACTTTAAACACATGAAACACCAAAGTCCAGTACTTAAAGTTAAGCATGTATCCAGGATTGAGGCCTAGATTTGCAATTGATATTTACACACAGTTGAATCTTCAGGAGAATGGCACATCCTTCACAAAATTTTCTCCTGTCTTCATTGGTAGACAAGGGAGCAAATCCATGTATGTAGTAATTACCTCCCCTCTTAGGGAGAAGAATAAAATAAATGGTCACAAGCAACTTGACCCCATTAATGTTAACTACGGGCATGGCGTTGTATGTGAATTGTGTCCAATTGCTGTAGTAGAAGGCAAAGCTGGCTCAAATGATTTTTGACAATTTTATTTAAATGGAAACTTTCTGATCAGCTTTGGAAGAGTGCACAAACCACAGGATGTCTTAGATTAGTGTCCCTCAGCCTTTCCAGACTGCTATATGCCTTTCAGGAGTCTGGTTTTGTGTGCCGCTAAGTTTCACCTCACTTAAAAACTAATTGTTTATAAAATCAGACATTTGAGATATCAGTGTTACAGCACAAATGTGACAAACTGCTCACTTTTACCATATAATTGTAAAACATCAATTAGAATATAAATATTGTACATTAGCAGTATAAACAAGTGATTGCATGAAACTTTAGTTTGTACTGAGTTTGCTAGAGCTTTTTATGTAGCCTGTTGTAAAACGAAGCAAAAGTCTAGATGAGTTGCTGTACTCCCAGAAGATCTCCACGTATCCCACTCTCCAAGATGGCGTCATTAGGTAGTTGAGGGAAGGTACTCTGTTATTCCCAAGAGTCAATTCCTTATTACTCCAGTGGAAAACAATTTGGCTGTGTCCAGACTCAGGGGTTTTTTCGGGAAAAGTAGCCTTTTTCCGAAAAAACTTCACCTGCGTCTAGACTGCAGCTGCGTTCTTTCGAAATTAAATCGAAAGAACGCGGCTTTTTTTTCGACGGCGGTAAACCTCATTTCACGAGGAAGAACGCCTTCTTTCGAAAGTGCTTCTTTCGAAAGAAGGCGTTCATGAATGTAAATAGGGCTTCTTCGAAAGAGAGCATCCAGACTCACTGGGTGCTTTCTTTCGAAAAAGCGGCTTGCTCTTTCGAAAGTTCTGCGTGCAGTCTAGACGCTCTCTTTCGAAAGAGCCTCTTTCGAAAGAGGCTTGCAGTCTAGACATAGCCTTTGTGGTTCTGGGTCCTAGACCTCATGCTACACAACTGCATCCCTCAAAACTGAGTGCTTACAGTAGTTATATATATATATATATATATTGGTCTATGTGTGCTGGTCATCCCGCCTTTTTCTTGTACCTTATTATTGACTACCTTTAAAAGTGTTTGTAACATTTTAGGAATAAGATTTGTGTCGTAATTATTTTATTGTAGGTGTGGTCCATTGATTGATCTCTGCAGGGGCCCTCATGTGAGACATACGGGAAAAATTAAGGCTCTAAAGATTTTTAAGGTAACAATAGAAATGGCTAAGCTTTCCAAGCTCAGGTGAATAGAGGCAAGATTTTTCTTAAATGTCAGTGTGGTGTCTGGGTCCTCCCCCCTCCCCCCCCGATTGTCATACTATCAAAGACATCCTTAATTTTTTCCCCTACTCCCTCAACCCCAAATAAAATTACCGATTAACTTTTTTCCTCCCTGCCTCATCCCCCAAAAATCAACTGACTTTTTCCATTCTAATTGTTCTCAGTTTTATAGCATTGTAAATGAACGGGATCAACTCACTATTATAAATTATTAGTGTACCCAAAATAAGGGTACACTAATAATTTTGTTCTTTTCTTTATTTTTAAATCCCATTCATAACAGTGTTTTGTTCTTTTCTTTATTTTTAAATCCCATTCATTTGGCCACCTGTTGGCCAGCTAAGGTGATGAAACTAGCACATGTGCATCTCAAGACCACCCCAATCTGCTACCACATGCTGTCCCCGCATCTTCTGTTGAGCACAGTGTTGAGCTGGTTTCCCTCACACCCAACAAGATACTGTAGAGTGGGTGACCACAGGAACTATAGCTATATTTTTTTTTCTGAACCTGGAATGCTTGCCCTGGGTGGCTTGAAGGGGACTGTAAGTGTGTACAAGTATCTCTGTCTTCCAACCAATATTGGATGATTTTGCACAATTATTTTCCCAAGAAGCAGTCAGAGAATTGTATTGCATTAGCATTTCTTCTTCCTCTGCAGCTGTTTGTACAATACTGTTTGTTAAAAATGTTTGGGGTGGTTTTTTTTTTTTAACATTAGAATTCTTCTACATATTGGGAGGGAAAGGCTGACATGGAAACATTACAGAGAATCTATGGAATATCCTTCCCGGATAACAAAATGATGAAGGAATGGGAAAAATTTCAAGAAGAAGCCAGAAATCGGGATCATAGGAAAATTGGAAAGGTAGATACAGTTGATATTTTTGTTACTGTTAAAAGGTATTGTCCTGGTAATGATGATCCAAAATATATTTTCCCCCCAAGAAGACCCTCTGAAAGTTGAGCACTATTAGCTACTGCCAAATGTTGTCTACAGTTGGGTTGACCCATCCACAAAGCTTAAGTCTGACTTTGCCATTGCAGATGATATAATAAAAACCAGGTATTAGAAATGACTAGTCAGACCACTTTGACAACCCATATGGAACAGAAGGATGGACCAACAGTAACTTTTTTTTTTCTTCCATCCCTTCCCTTCAAACTGTTTTTTGTGATCTGATGGCTTTTATTGTTTTGTTTCCTGGTATTTATCCTCAATGTTCCTTTGCTTAATTTAATCCTGTTACTCTTACTTATTCTCACTCGGACCAACCTAAAATGTTCTTTCCTTTTTTCAAATCCTCCTCACATGTGGAATGATGGTTGCCTTGTAGCGAGACTATCTAACAGATGAGAGAGTTTGTCTGTTCAAGAACTCCTCCTAAATGGCAAGAGCTAGGATGACTGCACTCAGTATGCAGCTCCTTCTAATCCTAACTTAACCAAGATAAGAGTTTGGTTGTGCCAGGAAAGTAGGATGTGCCCAGAATAGAATTGCTGCTCATAAAACCATTGAGAAGACAGAATCACCAGGCAGATGAAAGGCACTTCCCGAGCCTCTCACCCCACCCAGGAGTCTCCTCCCCGATTAATACTTGGATGTTGCAGGCTGTTTGCCAGGAAACCGGGGGAAAGTACACCGTATGCTGCATTCCTTACTCTGACCAGGGAGCACAAAGGGCAGATGAGCCTGGACCTGTCCCAGTAGAGGGATGCACACTTCTCGCCTGGAGCTGCAGCGGCTATAGAGAAGTGCTTCTCACATGGCCAAAATCTGCTGGGGTAATCCTCTCTCCCCAGGGCAGCCTGCATGCTGAATGCCTCGTCCCCAACTCACCCCAAAGCAATGATTTAAATGAAGAAAAACAAAAATTAAGGACCCAAGCAACATCAGATGAATCTTTGCATATTGAACAAAAGATCACACCTCCTGTTAAAGGGTTTATAAGTGATCCAAATGTTGTAATTTGTTGCTTTATTGTTAGAGTCCAAGAAGTCAATATGTGGCTCATACAGTTATAACAAAGCATACTGATGTGCTTAAAACTATCTCTAACACACATAGGACCATGCCTGCAACAGACTTACATTTTATTGACCCCTTTAAAAACATGTAAATGGAATCCTAATATGAAATGTGATCAAACACAGGTCAAGTTGAATATGTTTACAATTCTCATTAGTGTACTAGGTTCCCCATATAGCTAGTCAGGTCTCAATCTTGAGTTTACAGTCTAGGATTTAGGTAAGGTTGAGTACAAACAAGCGAGGTAAGAGTAAGTTTGGAGAAGCATATAGAAACCTGAATAGGACTGATGGAGACTCGGTACCTGTAAAAAAGTTTCAGTATAATATATTAATGAGTTCAATTTATTTGTAGTACATATGTGCACCTAAGTCATCAAGTAGTTGCTTCATACTCTATTTTCTGATTTATAGTCTAGATATTAGGAGATCAATCTGTTGTTTGGGAGATTCTGAGAGCAGGACTCTGAATCAACATGGGATTAAAACTGACGAGAAAGCAAGCAAGCATCAGAACTGGAGGGCTGATAAGAGAAGTAATGATGTCTTAAAATGAAAATAATTACGTACGGTCTTGAAGATTTACCAGGTATTGCTCAGGTTACTAACTCAAACAATTTCACAGAGTAGAACAAAAAAAATACAGTAGATAGGTTGAAAACTTTTGCCAGCAGATGGCTCCCTACTTCACCCCTGCTGCTTGGGTCCTCATCTCAATTTTTATTTTGCATTTAAATCATGGCTCTGGGATGGGGCTGGGGTTCAGTATGCGCTGCTTGGGTCCTCATGTCAATTTTTGTTTTGCATTTAAATCATGGCTCTGGGATGGGGCTGGGGTTCAGTATGCAGATTGCCTTGGGGAGAGAGGACTACCCCACCACAGCAGTTTGGTGCCGAGTGAGAAGTTCCTCTCCATGGCCAGTACAGCTCCAACAGGGACAGCTGGGGAGGGATGCAGGTCCCCTCCCCAGCTGGGGCAGGTCCAGGTTTGTCTGACCCCCAGCATGCCCCAGCCAGTGTGAGGAATGCAGCAAACTTTGCACTTTCCCCATGCTCCCTGACGAAGGGGAACAGCCAGCAGTGCCCCTGTAGGAATCTGGGGGAGCAAGGGAGGGGGAACTTCAGCCTCCTACACCCTCCCCCAATGGCATGTGGCGTGTCCCCAGCTCATTTCACTGGTCTGGAGATTCTGTCTTCTGTGTGGCTTTCTGAGAAGCAATCCCATTACAAGCACGTGACATTTTCCTGGCACAACTAAATGCTTTCCTTGGTTTAAATTATGAGCAGAGGAAGCTATATTCAGGTTAACTTCTCTAATTCAGCACCCTTTGGACCTGACCACTGATGGAAGAGGATATGGGTCAGCAGGGGGACACTAGCAGCTAGATATTTCTGGCAGCAGGCCGTACTCAACCCCTGCTCTCAACCCTCCCAACATGGTTCTGGAGAACTGTTACGCTGCCCTGGATACAGGAGATAAGAAATCACCCCTAAGGCAGAAGAGGGGAAGCCATGTACCCCCAAGGCTGGGAGGTCTGCAGCCACCACTGCAAGGAGGTAACATAGGGTAGTGGTAGTGGGAGACTCTCTTCTGAGGAGAATGGAGGCACGCATCTGTTTCCCTGACATGACATCTTGGGAGGTATTTTGCCTGCTGGGGGCCTATATCCGAGACATTAGAGGGATTGTCAAGGATTATCCGGCCCTCTGACTACTACCCCATGTTACTCATCCATGTGGGCACAAATGATACTGCAAGGTGTGACCTTGAGCAGATCACAAGTGACTACAGGGCTCTTGGAGTGCAGGTGGTATTCTCTTCAGTCCTTCCAGTCAAGGGTAGGGGCCCAGGCAGAGACAGGTGCATCCTGAAGGTGAATGCCTGGCTGCGAAGATGGTGTCACCAGGAGGGTTTTGGCTTCCTTCACCATGGGATACTGTTCCAAGAACAAGGACTGCTAAGCAGGGTTGGGTTCATTTATCAAGGAAGGGGAAGAGAGTATTTAGTTACAGACTGGCTAGCCTAATGAGGAGGGCTTTAAACTAGATTCGATAGGCAGGTGACCAAAGCCCACAGGTAAGTGGAAAAACACAAAGACCTAGGAGATGAGTCAGAAAGGGGAGGGATCGTGGGCTAAAATAGCAGAGATAAAGGAGGGACAAGGCAGAACTGGGAGACAAAATCAGATCAGTGTCTTACTACTTGCATTTGTATATAGCAATCTATGGGAAATAAGCAGGAAGAACTTGACATGGTAGTAAACAAATAAAACTGTGACAGCTGGTATCACAGAGTCTTGGTGGGGTAATACACACAATTGGAATATTGGTATAGAAGGGTACTGCTTGCTCAGGAAGAATAGGCAGTGAAAAAAGAGGAGGTGTTGCCTTGTATGTTAAAAATGTTTATACTTGTACTGGAGATGCAGGAGACAGGCAGACTTGTTGAGAGCCTCTGGGTTAGGATAAAAGGGGTAAACATTAAGCGTGATTTCATGCTAGGGATCTACTACAGACACCTACCCAGGCAGAAGAGGTGAATGAGGTTTTTTAAAAAAACTTACAAAAGCATCCAAAGCACAGGATTTGGTGGTGATGGGGGAATTCAACAATCCAGACACATATTGGGAAACTAACACTACATGGCACAGATTATCCAACAAGTTCTTGGACTACATTGGAGATGTGGTTTTGTGTGTGGGTGGTGTTTTGTTTTTAATTTCAGAAGGTCAAGAAAGCTACTGGGGGAAGCTGTTCTAGATTTGATTTAAACCAATAGGGAGAAACTGGTTGAAAATGTGAAAGTGGAAGGCAACTTGGGTGAAAGTGATCATGAAATTGTAGTGTTCGTGATTCTAAAGAATGGTAGAAGGAAGAAAAGCAAAATAAAGGCAATGAATTTCAGAAAGGCGGACTTTAGTAAATTCAGAGAGCTGGTAGGTAAGGTCCCATGGGAAGCAAGACTAAGAAGAAAAACAGAAGAGAGTTAGCAGTTTTTCAAAGGGACATTATTTAGGAGGCCCAAAAGTAAAATATTCCACTGCATAGGAAAGATAGAAGGTATGGCAAGAGACCACCTAAGCTTAACCACAAAATCTTACACAATCTAAAAATAAAAAAGGAGCCATATAAAAATTGGAGACTAGGTCAAATTACGAAGGACGAATATAAGCAAATAATGCAAGTATGTTGGGGCAAGATTAGAAAGGCAAAGGCACAAAAATAAGCTCAATCTATCTAGAAACATAAATAGTAACAAGAAAACATTCTACAAAAACATTAAAAGCAAGAGAGATACCAAGGACAAGATGGGCCCATTGCTCAGTGAAGAGGGGGAAAACAATAACAGTAAACTTGGAAATGACAGAGGTGCTTAATGACTTCTTTGTTTTGGTTTTTATCAAAATGTTATATGGTAAATGGATGCCTACCATAGTGAATGCTAGCGGAAATGGGATAGGTATAGAAGTAAAAAATAAAAGAACAAGTTAATTACTTAGGTTAGATGTCTTCGTCACCCAGCCCTGATGAAATGTATCCCAGAATACTCAAGGAGCTGACACAGGAGGTATCTGAGCCTTTAGCTATCATCTTTGAAAAATGGAGCTGGGAGAGATTCCAGAAGACTGGAATAGGTCCAAGTGCCCATCTGTAAAAAGGAAAATAAGAACAAACCAAGAAACTACAGACCAGTCAGTTAACTTATGTGCCACGGAAGATAATCGAGCAAATAATTAAGGAACACATCTGCAAACAATCGGGACTTTAATAAGGGGATAGGTAACAGCCAGCATCAATTTGTAAAGAACAAATCCTGTCAAATGTATCTGATAGCTTCCTTTGATAGGGTAACAAGCCTTGTGGATAAGGGAGAAGTGGTGGATGTGGTATTCCAATACTTGAGCAAAGCATTTGATATAGTCCCTCATGACCTTATCAATAAACTAGGGAAATACAACCTAGATGGGTGGGTACATAAAGCTGGATAACCATTCTCAGAGAGGAGTTATTAGTGGTTCACAGTCATGCTGGAAGGGCATAATAAGTGGAGTTTTTCAGGGGTCTGTTTCAGGACCAATTCTGTTCAATATCTTCAATTATTTAGATTTTGGCATAAAAGAGTACGCTTACTAAGTTTGCAGATGATACCAAGCTGGGAGGAGTTGCAAGTCTTTTGGAAGATAGGGTCATAATTAGGGATGTTAGCATATAGTCGAATAAATAAGCCTAGGCTAATTGGTTAATCCCATTGATTATACACACACACTAAACTCCCCCTCCCCCCACACACACACTTGCTGCTCTGTATCAGAGACAGCAATAGGGGGAGCAGGAGCCAGTGCACATGAGGATGTGGCTTTAGGCAGGTTCCCCACGAGCACCAGATCCTCCCCTTCCCCCATACTACTGCATCTAATAGGTAGCAGCACAGAGTGAGAGGGGGCAGGTGACAGCCATGCGTATCAGCTCCCGTGGATCTGCCTGCCCTGTCTGTTGGAGGCAGCAGTGTGGGGGTGGGGCAAGGGCAGGAGAGCATGACTTAAAGCATCTTCTGTCCATGAGGAGGTCTGAGCTCTCCTGGACAGAAGGTACTTTACATCCCACAGAGTTGCCTTTGTCCATGGGGTGTTTAGACCCCACCACAGACAGGGACTGCTGCCACCCCACACACCTGCCTCTGTATCAGAGGCAGCAGCAGAGGGCTGCAGGTATCCGGCCCATGAGGGGAGCTGGTTTTTAAACTGGTTCTCCTTGTGGACCAGCTCCTGCCTGCCATGTCTCATTGCTGCCTCTGATGGAGAGACAGCAGCATGGCATAGCAGGGGGTATTCCCAGGAGTGGGATCGGAGCACGCTGGCTGCTGGACACACCCCCCAGGGACTATCAAATAGTCATGTAACCGTTTAATATTTTATGTGGTTACACGACTATTCAGTTACATATTATCTAGCATCCCTAATCATAATTTAAAACAATCTGGACAAACTGGAGAAATGGTCCGAGGTAAATAAGATGAAGTTAAATAAGGACAAATGCAAAGTATTCCACTTAGGAAGGAACAATCAGTTTCACACATACAGAATGGGAAGTGACTGTCTAGGAAGGAGTACTGCAGACAGCAGTCTGTGGGTCATAGTGGACCACAAGCTAAATATGAGTCAACAGTGTGACACTATTGTAACAAAAAGCAAACATGATTGTTGACTCATATTTAGCTTGTGGTCCACTATGACCCACAGACTGCTTTCTGCAGTACTCCTTCCTAGAAAAAGGGCAAACATGATTTTGGGATGCATTAACAGGGAGTGTTGTGAGCAAGACGTGAGAAATCATTCTTCCACTCTACTCTGCATTGATTAGGCCTTAGTGGGAGTATTGTGTTGAGTTCTGGGCACCACATTTCAAGAAAGATGTGGAAACATTGGAGAAGGTCCAGAGAAGAGTAACAGAAATGATTAAAGGTCTAAAAATATGAACTAGGAGGGAAGTCTGAAAGAATTGGGTTTATTTAGAAAAGAGAAGACAGAGAGCAGTTTTCAAGTAACTAAAAGGATGTCACAAGGAGGAGGGAGAAAAATTGTTCTCCTTGGTGGTCTCTGATGATAGGACAAGAAGCAATGGGCTTTAATTGCAGCAAGGGAGGTTTAGGTTGGACATTAGGAAAAAACTTCCTAACTGTCAAGGTTGTTAAACACTGGAATAAATTGCCTAAGGAGGTTGTGGAATCTCCATTGCTGGAGATATTTAAAAGCAGATTGGATAGACCTCTATCAGGGATGATCTAGATGGTGCTTGGTCTTGCACCAGGGGGCAGGGGACTGGAACTGATGAGCTCTCGAGATCCCTTCCACTTGTAGTATTCTATGATACTGACTGTTGCCAAACTAGGGAATTTGCCAAACAATGGGAGGTCAATTTTTCTAGTAGCATTACCAACACTTCCACTACTTTTTGGGCTCTTAGAAGACATTTAGGGGTAAATCAGTGCTAAGTAACAGCACACAACGCTTGAAAGCCAGGACAGGTGGCTGAAAACAAATTTTATGGGATGGCATGAAACTTGGCCACCCCCATGGTAAATGGACATGCAGCTAACTAAAATTATGCCAAAGCACAGATGTTCCTGGAGCAGAGAGTGCCAAACTAGAGAGTTTCAACTTATACTAAATTTGGTGGTCCTAGCTCTTACTGTTCAGGATAAGTGCTTGAACAGATGGATGGATGCATGGATGGACAGATTCTCTCAAATATATAGTTAATATACATTGTTTCTTTCCCAGTTCAAAATGGATGAACTAGTGTGATAGGTTACTAAGAGAGGTTCTACAATATATCCTAAGAAAAATGTATGAAATCCCTGTTCTGATGCCCACATGCTAAGAAGTTTTTGACTAAGTATCTCCTGGCTCAGAATCTTAAATTATCTTATCAGTGAGTGGTTTGTACCTGCCAGGTGACTCTTATCCTGCATGAGTGAATAGGAATGTCATACCCACTGATGAGACTGTTTTGTTTGTTTGTATTTTAAAGAGTCTGAAATTTGAGGACATGTGAGATTCGTCAGTTATACCTTTGGAGATGGGTCTCTAGTGTCACATGCCTTCTGAAAACTAGAATTGTTTTCTCAGCCTTCTTAATCTTGTTCTCTTCTGTAGTTATTGTTGATACATTCCTTGCTACCAATAATGAAAGATACTAGAGTCTGAACACAGTCAATTAAAAATTTTGATTGAACTGGAAAAAAATTTACGGACAAAATTTAAAGAGCTTACTGAATTCTATCTTTACTTATACAGGAGCAAGAACTTTTCTTCTTCCATGATCTGAGTCCAGGAAGCTGTTTTTTCCTCCCCAGAGGTGCCTTTCTTTATAATACACTAATGGATTTTATACGAGTAAGTAGGCATGTCTTTAGAATTTCGAATGAACATGATTAAATGTTTTTCTTTTGAAGATATATTTTTTTCCACTGTCCATAGCTTAAATGATACATTCTTCAGAATTCTTCCTACCCTACATTTGTGATCATGTCTACACTGCCACATTACTGCACTGAAACTTTTTCATTCAGGAGTGTGATACCTCCCCCCTTTCTATTCCCATGTGTGCAGCAAGTTACAGCGCTAAAGAGCACCAGTGTAAATGGATTTCCAGCACTGGGCGCTACTCTCCTTGTTTAGGTGGTTGACATACTGCACTGGGAGAGCTCTGTCCAAGTGCTTGTGCCATGGCCATACTTGCATATTAAAGCAGCGCTTCAATGTTTTAAGTGTCGATTTAGTCTTTGATTCTTATTAATACAATTATTGCATTAAGGCTTCCTCACCAAAACAAGTGCGCCTGTGTATATATTTTTGTTCAGATATTGAAACTTTAGTGTGGATGAAGTGGGTAACTGCAGGAAGAATTTGGTCTTAACTTTTTTTCAAAAGTAAGCAGGTGATTAATTGTTAAATCACAACACATTTATAACTTGATCCTAGTCATTTAACCCTTATGCTGTACTGTGTTTCAACTTTCTTGCTCAGGGGTGTGAGAGTAGAGACTAAACTTCAGGAAAGAGTTGTTATAAGTAAGGATTACAGGATCAGGCCTTTACTCTATGTAAAAAACGCTGTGGATTTTTTAGAGGGGTTTTTGTTTTTGGTTGCATCACCTTTTGAATTTATTTTTCTAGGAGGAATATCACAGGCGTAATTTTACTGAAGTAGTATCCCCTAACATCTACAACAGTAAACTCTGGGAAGCATCAGGTCATTGGCAGCACTACAATGAAAACATGTTCTCATTTGATGTGGAGAAGGAAACATTTGCCCTTAAGCCCATGAACTGTCCAGGACATTGGTTTGTATTTTTAGCTTCATTAAAAACTTCTTACCTTTTTTCCTACTCAGAAGGGCAGTGATTTGAAGTTCAGAGAAATTAATATACTGAAGTATTGTATAGGTTTTCCTATACAGTAAGACAGCCTTTTATGAGGGCATCAGCTGTCCTCAGTGCCTGTCCTATTGTATCTTTAGAGAATTTGAGTACAGTTTGGCTCCATACATGTTGGAAAGTCCCTCAGTCACACTCCTTAAGGGTAAACAGGGTTGTGAGAAATTTCATCATTACTTGCAACCAGGTTTGATCTCCCTAAATGAATAGACACTAGCTTGTTTGAATCAACTCAAGACTGACTCCTTTATAATATCACAGCATTGAGATATATGTATATGAAAATAACTTATTAAGATATAGTAAGGATACTAGTGGAAATAGAAATGATTATGTACGAAAACAAGCGTAACACGCTTCCTAAACCTGTTAAATAGTGATAGAGATGCAGCCGTGTTAGTCTGGTCTAGCTGAAACAAAAGACAGAGCTATGTAGCACTTTAAATACTAACAAGATAGTTAGTCTTTAAAGTGCTACATAGTTCTGTCTTTTGTTTAAACCTGTTAAGGGATTGACCTAAACTTTGTCTAAAGTAGTTGTTCATCTACAGTAATTGCTTGTCTAAAACAATCTCCTAGCATTCACAACCAAATGGCAGGAATCCATCTTTCCTTAATGAAAAAAATTCTGTTCTTTCATCTTCCTTACTGAAAGATATTGGGATGTCCCTTTGCCGCCTTATGTCCCCCAACATACATCTTTTGCCCCGACAGAGTCAGGATGACCCCCTATAAGTTGTTGCGTGGTATGTTGACTCTATATTGCTGTCACATTCTCACTTCACTTGATAGACAAATGGAGCTTCTGTTGCATTGGCATATAGTACTTAATTTACATGTGATTTGAGGCAGGCTGGTCCTTCCATATTCTTTGTTGGACAAAACGTATTTGTCAACTCTGCTTTGATCCGAAGATGAAAACACATTTTTCAATGTGTATATGTTCACAGCTCCTTACTTCGTGTCAGTATGGACATTTCACAGTTACGTTAATGCCAGGATCACAGTGGTCATTGAATTAAGATTTCACATGCCATTTTTTCTAGATAAATACTATGAAAGCAGTGTGATCGGTTTAGTGAGTTTGTCAGGCCTGATAGGAGTTGCTGGTTAGAACAGCGAGCTCTCTGTCAGTTGGCATAGATGTGTTCGTAGGATCCCAAATTCTACTGAACAATAGGTTTTTGGTGCTTGAGACAGGTTTCAGTGTACTATTACTTCTATCAATGTAGTCAGTCTATTTCTTGTATTTCCTTTCTGAAGACTGAAGTAAGAAGCTTAGCTTTTTGGATACATAATGGCCAAAAAAAATTGGGCCATTCATGAAATACATGCGGGTTTTGTTTGTTTGTGTTTTTTGGGGGGGGGAGGAATGTTATAATTTGCAACTCTCTTGGGTTTAAAATATACCTTGGATAGGGATGGGATGACTTCATGGCTAGAGAGAGTAAGACGGGGTGCTGGAAATCCCTGAGTTCTAACTTTGGCTCTCACTGGGACTTTGTCTGTAGACTCCTTTTCACCATCTGTTGAACGGTGGTTTGGAGATTCGTAATTAGTGGTGTATTCTTGAAAAGTATTATGTAACCTAATATTCTGGACTGGCCTAAGCTGATTTAATTCAAAAGAATGTTGGGTATAAGTTTTACTACCTGCATATAAAAGTCACAGAGAGGTAGCTATGTTAGTCTGTAGCTTTAAAAACAGCGAGCAATCCTGTGGCGCCTTAGAGATTAACATGTATTAGGTCATGAGCATTGTGGGTAAAAGCACTTCATCAGATGAATTGGATTGGAAACTACAAAATCCAGGGTATACTTTGTCTCTTCTAGCTTGATGTTTGCTCATCGCCCTCGGTCATGGAGGGAAATGCCTATTAGATTTGCCGACTTTGGGGTTCTTCACAGAAACGAACTCTCAGGAACTTTGAGTGGTTTGACTCGAGTCAGGCGTTTCCAACAGGATGATGCACACATCTTTTGCACAATGGAACAGGTAAAGAACTTTTCTGCCTTTATTTTGTCCTGACAGGTTATTCTGTAGCTTAAGTGCAACATTTGTTTCTTTTATTTCTTCCCTGTTGTTAAGTTGCTTCCTTCTAATTCATATGGGATTCAGTAAGTCTTTAGATGACTATATAATTGCTTGCATCAGTATCCCATTGTTCATGATGTCAATGTCTGAAATTGCCAACAGGCTAATGTCCTGATGTTTTATTAAGTTTTTCTATTATGACACAAATGTTGCTTATTTGTAAAGGAGAACGGTGTGTATTTTTGAGATGTTACTAAGTATGGCTACCTGCAGCTGTGTATCAACAGGAAAAAAAATCTATACAGGATATTACGCTTTTGTCTCACCACAAGGATATTTAAGCAATAACAATAAAGTCCCAAGAGATCAAATAACCGGCAAAAAAAATGAAATAAGTGGTTTATCTGGATGATGTTTTCCACTTAACTATACTGAGTAGTATCTTATTCCATCAGTCATCCAAAGACTTCAATGCAGAGTAAATTAAGGCACTGTGTGGCAGTGTAGAACCAGGTCTCATAATCCCAAACCTCTATGAAATATCCTTCTGATTTAGGAAACCATGAAGCAAGCCTGATTGAAGACAAACAACCAGTGATCCGTGCCAGCATTTTTTGAAGTTCTGTAAATGGATCTGTGTTGCTTAAATTTCAGATTGAGGAAGAAATGAAGGGCTGTCTAAATTTTTTGAAGTCAGTTTATGAAGTCTTTGGTTTTACCTTTCAACTGCACCTTTCTACAAGACCTGAAAATTTCCTAGGAGAAGTACAGATTTGGGACCACGCAGAAAAGGTAACACGGAAAGGTATTTAATACTTTAATTTGAAGAAACTTAATGCATTTTAATATGGCTAAATGTAAATGCCTAGATCTCAGGACAAAGAATGTAGGCCATACATACAGAACAGGGGACTCTTCTCTGGAAGCGGTGACTCTGAAAAAGATTTGGAGGACATGGTGGATAATCAGCTAAACTTTAGCTCTTCTGGCCATAGCATCATGCTGGGAGTTCAAGTCCTCCTGGGATGCATAAACAAAGGAATCTAGAATAGAAATGGAGAGACTGTTTTGCCTCTTTCTTGGTACCCACAATTCAAGAAAGATAATGAAAAATTAGAGCGTTTAGAGAAGAGCCACAAGAACATTTAAAGGATTAGAAACCTGCCTTAGATTTAAGAGCACAATCTGTTTATACTAAAGAGGAGCTCAAATAATGCCTTGGTTGTAATCTGCAAGTATCTACATGGTAAACACATTTAGTATCATGTTCTTCAGTCTAGTGGAGAAAGGTCTAACATGATCCAATAGCTGGTAGTTGAAGCTATACCGAGGGCGGGCAGTGATTGATTGATATATTTATATTTTTTTTATGGGGGGATACTCCAAGCTTTTGGTAAGTGGTTAAGGGCTGCACTTCAGGGGTCTGGGTCAGAGCCTGAGTGCAGAAAGGCGCATGGGGTAGGGGAATAGGGTGCAGGAGCAGGTGTGTGGTCTGAGAAGGAGTTTAGGTGAAGGAGGGGGTTGTGATCTGGGGCAGAGGCTTGAGGTGCAGAGTCCAGGATGGGATAAGTTTGCAGGGGAGGATTCTGGCCTGGGGAAGGAGTGTAGGAGGGGGTGCAGGGTCTGGGAGGAAGTTGTGACCTGGGAGAAGAGAGAAGGGGGGAAAGAGGGTTTGGGTGGTGACCTGAGACAGGTAATTGTGGGGGAAAGAGCAGGTGGGGTGCCAGAGGCAGGCTGTGGCTAGGAGGCACTTAGCTTGGCTGCTCAAAGCCAGCAGCCCTTCAGGAACCTGAAGCAGACTCTCTGCCTCTGCTGAAGTCTCAGTCAGCTGGTTGCTCCGCATGGGTCTGCTGCAGGCATGGGGGGAGGGGAGGGAGGCTTCACATGCTGTTCCTGCCCCCAGCAAAATATCTCAAATCCTATTGGCCAGAAACTGGCCAATGAGAGCTGAGAGATTTTGCTGGGGGCAGAGGCAGCATGTGAGGCCTCCCTTCTCTGTCCCCAGCTGTCCAGACCAGAGAGCAGCTAGCTGTTGAAAGCATGGACTGCTCTCTAAGGATCCTGGTGAAGCGACTGCAGGCTGGGTCTGGTGACTTGGTGGGCTGGAGTTGGCTTGCTGGAAGCCTGTTCCCCATCCCTGAGCTATACAAATTCAGGCTGGAAATACAGCATATTTTTTATAATGAGTGTAATTAGCTATAGGAACAATATAATTAAGGGTCATGGTGGATTCTGCACAGCCAATTTTGAAATACATTCTCCTAGTATTATTTTAAGGAAGTTTTGTGGCCTGTATTATACAGGAGGTCAGATGAGATGATCACAGTGGCCTGTCCCTTCTGGCATTAGAATCTATGCCTCTGATACATACAACTATCTAATGTCTAGTCTTGCAAACCTTCAGTCATGGTGAATCAGTGAGATTACTTAAATGAAGTAGGGTTTTTTTAGGATAGAGCTCTAAAATCTGTACTTGATAGGTGTGTTTGCTGCGAGAAATGAAGCACTGACAAAACAAATCTCCTGATTGATATAGTTACCTATAGCTTGAACAGATTTTCTACCAGAAATTTCTTGTTGTTGATCTCTATATTTGATACAAAAGTCAGGATTTAGAGTAATTATGTTTAGTTCATTAGTTCAAAACTCTTTATATTGCTATGATGTTTGAGTTGGTACTACCCATTTTCTTACATAGTATGACGTAGTTATTTTCCCTCATCTTCCCCTTCATGAGAGGTCTTGGTAGGACTGTGTTAAATAAATAAACAAAAAAAACCCATGACCATTAAACTTCATCTTGCTTATTTTTATAATTAGCAATTACAGAACAGTTTGAATGACTTTGGAGAACCATGGAAGTTGAATCCAGGAGATGGAGCATTTTATGGTCCTAAGGTTAGTAAATCTGTGAAAATTCAAAATAAAATTCGAATGCAGCTTGGTTAGTGCATAATAGAATAACCAAAAACCTGTATCTAGTAACAGAAGCATTTTCTTTACAGATTGATATTAAAATCAAAGATGCAATTGGCAGGTATCATCAGTGTGCTACTATCCAACTTGACTTCCAGCTACCAATCAGATTTAACCTTAATTATGTTGGGTAAGTGGTTGAATTGTTAGACTGTCAACTGTAACAGATGTGGAGTTCTTTACTTTCACTGTTTGTAGCTCCCACTAAAAATGAGTTTTTAAAAAAGCATTTTAATTATTTACTGGCTTCTGGACAAGCTGCTGACCTACCATTAAATGCATAGGTGCAGTGGGAGGCAACAGATCCCCAGCTGTGGAAATGAGTACTTGGACTGGCCGTGAGCTAAGGCTTTCCCCTCTTTTAGTAGTTTGTTCAACTGCTCTGTTTCTTTGTAAATGATACTGAAGAGTGGGGGGAAAGAATGATGATTTGTCTTTCTGGTCTGCTCTTCCTGAAGAGAACTGCATGTATCTGACCTTAAAGTTTCCTCAACGGCTGTATGGGACTAACACACTAATCAGTCACTATTGTTGGATGCATCTTCTTATCACAGGTTACACATCAAACTATCAGCATTTTGCAGGTTTGGGTTCTTGACACAGTCACTATTTAAAGTAAAGGTCAGATCAACTAGTTTCACCTTGATGGAGGTGCATAAATTGTACATGTACAGGATTGGACACTTTTTTGAGAAAAGAAATATCATTTTTAGTTTCCAATTTGAGACGACTTTTTTGTTAAGCACATTTTGTGACTTTCATGCTCTTGGATGAGTGCTTCCATTGGTTTCCCATTTTCATGTATTTGGTTGTGTCATGATTTGTCTCCCCTCGTTTTTTGAAATAACAAAAACAAATTTTTTTTTGTTTTGGATTTTACCTGCTCTTGCAACTTCCCGTCATCTGAAATCCCAATTGTTTGTTTTTCACAGCATGATAATTATCACAATAACCAAAGGATGACGTCTCAAATGGGAAATAAGCAGTAGAAACAGGGAAGATCCTAATGAAGATATTTTTATTGACGTTTGAATTAAAAATTGAGGGAAAAGAGATACATCAGATATGAAAGTATCTTGAAGTGGACCTGAGTCATAAAGTTAGAATCTGAATCCAAATTCAAAGTGATTTACAAAACCAGGATTTTATTGTGCCCGTTTCTCATTATATGTAGGCAGGATTATTTCAACCTGCTTTGACTACCAATTTATTTTATTATTATCAGTATGTATTAAAGAGAGTACATTTGGAGTGAAAACAATTAATAATTTGATAATATTTATTCTGCGTTTTATATAAAACCAAAGCAGAAGATTGGAAAAAATTACAGTAAGCTTATGTGCACTGATTAAGGTAAATGTCTTAATATTTCTTCTTCTTTTGCAGAAAGGATAGTGATGATAAGAAAAGGCCAGTGATCATTCATAGAGCTATTCTGGGCTCAGTGGAGAGAATGATAGCTATTCTAGCAGAAAATTATGGAGGAAAATGGTATGTGGCTCATGTATAGTACTAAGAAACAATTAGGAACAAAGCTAAAAATACAGAAGCTTCTTAATGGCCACTACATCATAATAAAAATAATTCGCCAAGACTCTTAGTCAAGGTAGTACAGGCAAAACAACGAAAATGTGGAATGTCTCAGTGAGGCTTGAGTACCATAAAATCATTAATATGGTTCATATTACAAATATTAATGATTATGTTTATCAGGGTGGCAGTAAGCCAAAGGCAGTTTGCCAAGATTAGCCCCTGGCAGGCCACAGGCACTTTTAATTTCCCTATGTATCCACCGGTATTACAGCTCCTAATGACAGCAGATTGCCATTCCCAGCCAATGGGAACAGTGATTCATGGCCAATGGGAGCTGCAAGCTGCTATACTTGCAAACGTGCAGGTAAATAAAGCATTGGCTGGGGCTAACCCTGTCAAACTGCATCTGCCAAACAGGCCACGTATTGTCCACCCTTGATGCATATAGCAGACAAATTCAAACATGACATGATTATAGACTAAGATAAGAGTAGAAATTCAGTTTTACAAGATTATAGTAAAACTAATACAGTAAGACCATATTTTAAATTGGCAATTGAAACATCTGTAGAATATATTTTATTTGCCCTTCATTATTTAGCCATAGAAGTATAAAAATGAATTTGTAAACCATAATACATATATTGTATTGATTAATAAGTTAGAGTTTTAACATGTATAAATAGTGAACGCTGCTCCCTTTTTCATGACTAATATCTGAAAGATAACTTCTCCATAAAATGGAGAATAAAGTACAATTAAATGGAGAAGGTGGGGAAGGGAACAGATCTCATTCACGAACATACAGTCCCCCTATTTTAAAAGTATAAAATAAAGGACATAGATAATGTGTGAAATTAAACTGTAGTTGAATTATTAAATGAAATGTGTAACTTGGAAAGGAACGAGAGACCAAAATTGTGTATATATCTTCATGGCCTGTTGGTTTGTGTCTTGAGCTCACTCAAGGGATTCTAAACTAGTTGTGTACTGAAATTACAAACAGAAGTGGTGGTAATTTAAGTAGAATAGTTCCTTCAGAGAATGATACCTGTAAGTGATTCTTGCTTTATGTCATAATCTGAATTGATTCCAATGCAACCTAAATATGTTGATTTAGTACACGGTAACATTTTTCTCTTAACATTAACACAAAAGTAAATTTAAACTTAAAAAAGTATGAAAAGTGGTGCATACACTATTCAGTAGTGTCGAAATATCATCCTCTGTTGGGAGCCAACTAGCCACAACAGAGGTGGATTGGATTCATGATGTTATTTTAGTTTTTAACAGTAAATTTTCTATTTAACCTAGAGCCAGAATTATTCATTAATATGTTCAGGTGAATTAGGCAGGATAAAGACCATGCCTTAGCCTAGATGTCTATAATTAAACCTTCTTTAAAATTATTCAGTTACTGTTAGAGCAGTGGTTCCCAAACTTTTCGGCATCACATCCCTTTTTGATTTTTGAGAAATCCACACCTCTCTTTTCCTCCCTCTTCCCCCGTCCCTCCCCCCAAAAAAGCAGCAAAACTTGTTGAGAGGGAAAAAAAAAGAAAGAAACTGACCAAAGCCAAAAAACAGTCATGGCCCTTTTAATTCCCAGGACCACTGTTTTTTTTTTTTTTTTTTTTTTTAAAGTGCCAGTACTCCAGCGGAAAAGCAGAGCAGGCATTGCCCTTTTAAGGTGACCATTTTTAAGTCTGCCCAGGATGCTCCATCCTCCCTCTGTCTCCACCAGCCTGAGCTGCACATGTTCCGGTGGACGCCCAAGGCAGGAAAAACAGAAAATACCAGACATTTCACATGGTATTTTCTGAATTTTTTTTTTTTAACCATATGGACAGGGCTCTTTCTTTGGGGGGGGGGAATTAATGGGGGGGGCGCTGGGTTGTGTCGTGCCCCCCCTGGAATTTCTTCACACACACACACCCAGAAGGGCACGCCCACCAGTTTGCGAACCTATATATTCAAGCATATAAACGCTTGCATGAATGGAAGGTGTGTTTAGTGTAAGTGTATATACAATGTATTTTTATATAAATTTTATCTGTGTTCTATTTGCCAGGCCTTTCTGGCTCTCTCCTCGCCAGGTGATGATTGTCCCTGTGGGGCCTACTTGTGAAAAATACGCTGAACAGGTAAAAGTAGACTTGCTTTTTAAAAAATTGAAGTAAAATTTATTTTAACAGTCACGATATAATCTCTAATTCCAACCTAGAACAGAAATGTGTAAACTCCTATACATGTTGAAGTAGTCTTTATTACCTTCTAAAATTGTCATGAATTTAATATGAGGACATGAAATTCCGAATGAAAATAATATTTTTGGGGGCTCTTGCTTCTTAGAGAGAGAATGAATTACTGAAGCCTGTGTGTGTAATATTAATGGAACTTTTAACTTTATTGTAGGTTTGCCATGAATTTTTTGAAGCAGGATTTATGGCTGATGTTGATGTAGATCACAGCTGCACATTAAACAAGAAAATAAGAAATGCACAGCTTGCACAATATAACTTTATTTTAGGTAATTGTGTATTTGTTTCTGATCTTTGTAAATGTTTTTTTAAATTTTGGTTATAAACAACAGATGTCATGGATTTTGATGTTTATTTTAAATTTCATAATCTAAGCAGGAGATTAAACAGACTGAAGCAAATTAAAGTAGAGTTTCTTTTCACTTTTTTTTAAATAAAGTAACAGGTATGATTGTGTAATAGTTTCATAGTTAAGTGGTAGAGAATACCTTCTTTAATGTGTGGAAGATAATATAGCTAAAATGGTGACTAGCATCAGGTCCTGTGCTATTTTTTCCTAAAAATTATGTACTCTTTTAAAAAGTTACATGCCTGCTGCATATCCATTAATGTTTTTCTGGAATATTCCTCTTGCAGTTGTTGGAGAGAAGGAAAAAGCAAATAATGCTGTCAATGTGAGAACAAGAGACAATAAGGTTCATGGAGAGATTTTGGTAACGTCTGCCATTGAAAAACTAAAGCAACTTAAGAAATCACATACTTTATATGCAGAGGAAGAATTCTGAAATGGCTCCCACTTAGCAGCAATGTTACCTCTAAATGAAATTGAAAATTTGTCCTCCCCTCGATAACACTGTTGTGATTATTTGCAAGGTTTTGTAATTAATGCACAAAAATGTAATAGATATGGGTGTTTCGGGATTGGGTAAAAGAAAAGATTCAAACCTTGGATGACTTAAGGAAATCATCTGAAACCATAGCAACTGGAAAATTCAGTTTAGAAAAAAACTTCACCTATACTACAAAATGTATTGTTTCTGCTACATATTTAAAGCTGGTACTCTAAAAGTGATCAAGAGAAAAACACTGGAAAGTGTACTTCGGCTACTGCTAACAAACTTAATCAGTCAAAAGATAGCTATGTAACTTGTCTGGCATCAGAAACTTGACAGCTTGTATAAGAAATTAAAATTCTCATATTTGTTTTGGGGTGTGTCTAGTTCCTACTGGACTAATGTTAACAGGCCACACACATGTTGCTACTCCTTTTGGAAGTCTTAACAGCAAGGACAGGCACTGAATGGCCTAGTGACTACCTAGAGAGGTTGAATAATATAGACTAAGCGCTGTAAGGAACTTAGGTTGTTGACTGTAGTGTTCTTGTTCTATGAGTACATTGAAGACCTCCATTTCCAGTGCTGAAAACCTGGCTCCTTTCACAAGCACTAAATTCACTTTTAAAACTTTAAAATAAACCCCAGACCTTCCATAGATTACACTGTTTCTGCTTTGTTTGGGGCATGGACACTAGGAAAATGTTGAAAACCTGTTACGTAAATTTCTGTAATTTTATCTTTAGGACAGTTCATTGATAACATCAGCTATGCATATGTTGAATCTAAATTAGTTATTTTAATTGCTCCATTTTGTAATTAGACTGAATAGTTTACTGTTCCTGGCAACTGAATAAATCTTCAGTACAACAGTCTGTTTTGAGAGGTTTATTCTCCGTACAAGTCTAATTTGATTTCACTTTCTTTTGTACACTTGTTTTAGTAACACATGGCTTGTCTAATTTTTTATGATACTAAATTACCCAACCAATTGTATAATCAGTTTAAATTATGACTTACATAGTTACCTGATCTCTTAAATGAAGCAGAAAATAGGCTATAACGTGTAAGTATTTTGCTTAAAGAGAAAATTCAGAGTTTAATATTAAGCTTCCATCTGACATCTGTGCACCTTTTGAATCTGTTCCTTGGATCCAGTCCTGAAAGTCCTTGAACAAGGAACAGATTAGTATAGGAAATTTTGCATGAAGAGCAGGTGTCAGCCGATGGGGGGGGGGGGGGGGGGGGTGACATCTGTGCACCTTTTGAATCTGTTCCTTGGATCCAGTCCTGAAAGTCCTTGAACAAGGAACAGATTAGTATAGGAAATTTTGCATGAAGAGCAGGTGTCAGCCGATGGGGGGGGGGGGTGTGTGTGTGTGTGTGTGTGTGTGTGTGATACACCCGAGACTTCAACTGCTGAGACAGGGGTCCCTTCGCAGTGGGCAACCTGGAGAAGGATGACGGGCGCCCCAAGAAGTTTACAGGGAGAGCTTATTACACCTCAGATTTCAGCTGCTAGGATACAGGATCCCTTCGCAGCGGGCAGTCTAGGGAAGACTGAGGGGGGTGTGTGTGTGTGTGTGTGTGTGTGTGTGATACACCCGAGACTTCAACTGCTGAGACAGGGGTCCCTTCGCAGTGGGCAACCTGGAGAAGGATGACGGGCGCCCCAAGAAGTTTACAGGGAGAGCTTATTACACCTCAGATTTCAGCTGCTAGGATACAGGATCCCTTCGCAGCGGGCAGTCTAGGGAAGACTGAGAGATGCCCCAACAGATCTGTCACCTGGGAGTCACACGATCCAAAACTTCCAAGCTCTTCCTATACCTGTCCCTAATGACCAGCTGAAGTTCTTTTAAATTGTGCTTGGTTCTGGTACAGCAACTGAAGGAGTCAGGTTAAAGCTTAAACAGTTACAGGTTTATTGTTACAGGGTAAACTTAGCTGTTAAATGCTACTACTGTGTTACAGATAACACAGCCACTACAAAGGACAGCACACAAATTACACTAAGTAGTCACTTACAGGTACCATGAAACCCTTTTGGTTCTCTGAGCTCTTATTAAATGCATGCAAAATAGACACCTAGCAGGTATATATTCTAACCCCTGTTTTCCAGACTTGGCATGGCCAACGTCTTTCAATCCCTTGGGAAGAAGTAGGACAAGGTTGGGTGTCCCACAGACCTCGGGAGACAATCAATACCTGCCAGCAGGTGTAGATGATTGGAGCTCAAATGGGGTGGGCTACTAAACCCCTCTTTATACCCCTTGGGTCATGTAGGCTTCTTCCTGGTCTCAAGTGGCCAATTACGAAAAATGGCTTTGAATGCCAAGTTTTCCACAAAGGGTGCAAAGCATAATTCACACCTGGGAAAATTAAGACAATGGGCACCTCTGGTATGTGATGGGTGAAGATTTCTCTCCTGGGACAGTGCAGGCATGTCAATTACTGGTAATAGCCATCAGGGTGATGGGAGGCCCTGGGTCGTCAGCTAGCCCATTTACTGTCTGGTTTCTGTTTATGGTAGAGTCAGGGACAGGCAGCACACCTGCGTTCCCAGAGCATCAAAGGCTGACTGCCTTTCTCTTGCTCTCTGAGGGGGGCGGAAACGAAGATGGGGTTCATGTCTGGCTACAGCAGGACATAATGATACTTTTGATTAAGAGTACATCTACACTGCAAGCTTCTTTCAGCAGAAGCTTTTCCAGAAAAGATCTTCTGGAAAAGCTTATTTTGAAATACAGCATCTGTACTACAGGAAAGCTAGATGGACCTTTGGTCTGCCCCAGTACAGCCGTTCTTATATTCTTTATGTTCTTATGACTCTTTTCATTAATATTTGCAATGTCTGAAATTTATTATTGTGGGAATACAAAAAAGAAAACTTAATATGGCTCAAAAGAGGGAAACACTCTGTGTAAAGAATTATATTCTGGGCATGAGCATGTAAATACAGTTTGCTCCTGTTTGTTTAGATTTACGAGGTATTCATAGAATCATATCATAGAATCATCGACTATGACTGGAAGGGACCGCGAGAGGTTGTCGATACAGGGGTGTTTGGCTCATTGTAATCAATTTGGTTGTTGGGGTCACAAATTATGTTAATACTAAATGCAGCAATTGTGAAATATTATCACTAATGCTTGCAATTAGTGAGGGAAGACAGACAGATAGACAGACCCATTTCAAAAGGAGACCTTGTCACTTTAAAGGACCTTAAATGGCCAAAAGTTCCACTGCCAGAGTTCTGTGGGGGAGGGCAGAACTCTCAATCAGTGGGTGACATACCCTCCAGATGTTAGTTGTAAGATTGGTTCAGTTTCTCCCCCACTGTCTCTGTGATAGGGCTAAAATAGGCTCACTAAGGGCTCTTTTATGATATTCAACTTACTCCAGTGGATATTGGACTATACTTTGGACCAAGAACTGAAATCACTCAAAGCTGAAATTACTGGGCTTTTGTCCAAAGCCAGATCCACCCCAAGCAGGTGAGAGCAGTGAGCAGGGTGGGAGGTGGAGAAATGTGGGTGCCAGCAACCCCATCAGTGGCCAGCAGGCTGGTGGCAGAGAGGCTAGCGAGAGGCCAGAAGGGCAGTGATGAGCCCGCGGAGGGCAAGTGACCCGTGATGTAAGGTGCCTCCCTCCTCCCCCACTCCCCAAGGGCAGCACCTGGCAGTGAGGGGCAGAGGGGGGGGGCTGCAGGGGACAT